ATCGTCCAGGCCTCTCAGGTGGGTGTCTTGACCTAATGTTAACTTCATCTAAATAAAGTGCGGCTGGATTATTTCCATCCAATGTGACTGAATTTATTAATAGAAAGCTCTGTGCTTCAGCAGCAGAGGCCTGTCTGTGCCCCAAACACTGACCAGTCTTACTGTCAGCATGCCCGTGATGTTATGAAATGTTTCTAAATATCAAACAAAACTGTTCTAGAAATGCAGCAAAGAGCTTAAATTGTTAACAAAAATCTTGTTCCCCAACACCCTTCATTTTTCAAATGAACTAATTTAGCTCAGATTACAGTGGTTTGGGATAAATGGGGTATTTCTATATGAAAGTTCCTAATGTTTAATATATTTTGAACAATAATAATTGTTACACTTTCCACATGTAATTACAGGCTGAGAAAAACAGAGCAGCAGCCGCTGCCAATAATCTACAGAAGGGCAGTTCGGGTCCGATGCGGCTGTATGTGGGCTCGCTGCATTTCAACATTACTGAAGAAATGCTTCGAGGGATCTTTGAGCCTTTTGGAAAGGTCAGAAATAAGTTTCACAAATACATGGGAATTTTTACTGTTATCCAGATGCATTTGTTACAATCTTGTGCATTGGTGTTTTTTGTTTCCAAAGATTGAGGGAATCCAGCTTATGATGGACAGCGAGACTGGACGATCCAAAGGATACGGCTTCATATCGGTAATTAAAGCCTCTGTATTTCATTAACAGTGCAGTAGTGCCAGCAGCTAGTTTGACTCTAAACTCCTTGCCTTTTCAAGTTTGCAGATGCAGAATGTGCAAAAAAGGCCTTGGAGCAACTGAATGGGTTTGAACTGGCTGGACGTCCAATGAAGGTGGGGCATGTTACAGAGCGCTCAGATTCATCGACGGCCAGTTCGTTCCTGGACAATGATGAACTAGAGAGAACCGGCATCGACCTCGGCACCACGGGGCGTCTACAGCTTATGGCTCGACTAGCAGAAGGTTTGTAATAACCTGTGTCGTGTTTCTACCAACAGTACAGGGGGACTAAATGAAAATGAATTATTCACTTGGACTGAAAAATTGTCAAAATAAGCGTTGGCTTCATGTTACATCAGATATTTAACCAAATACTCTATTGAGCGAAATCACTGGCATACATATCACACCTGACAGGAGAGGAAATTATTCATTAGACTGAGTAAAATTGTGCTGTGGTGCGTATTACTTTAAAGGTCTAATCCACAATTTTGAGAAATACAATTGTTAATCAGGGGGTAGGCTTGTAATGATTGATCTGCAAATTATTGTCTTTATAGCTTGGTCTAATAAATGTTAGTAAAAAGTGAAAAGGGGCTTTCACAATCTCAGTCGTGTAATATCCTCAATATACTTGATTCGCCCACTAAAAGTCCAGAATCAATTTACTAACTGACAAAGAAAACTTGTGCTGCAAAGAATTTAGGAAATGGTGGTTGATAAATGTATTTCTACCTTGTCATTGTTGAAGCAGGGTTCGTACAGTCATGAAAAACCTGGAAAAGTCATAGAATTCAGAAACTCTTAAAGTGAGTAAAATGAAATCTTGAATATCTATTTCATAGTTAAGTTTTTAGTTACAATTTGAATTATTAACCTTCATAGCAGAAGGGTATAAAATGATATGAGCATATCACAACAATACTCTTAATAGAAATAATTATCACTAGTTCCTACTGTCTACAAATGGTCTTGGAACTATTGTGGTTAATTTAATTTATTTTACCTACTTTTCCATGTACACACAGAAATCACAAAAAGTTTGGACATAGGAATTGCTGTTAAGTCGTGGAAATCCACTGGCCTGAATGTGTATGAGGCGTCTCACATACAGAGCTCAAAACACTAACAAATGTTTCCATTTTTATAAAGAAACAAGTCCAGTGGTAGACATGACACACCTAAAGGACTTTTCTGAAAATGTCACCATCTCTGTCAGTGTCATGAAGCTACCATCTGATTTGGTGTCTTATATGTTGTACCTATGCAAAACAATTTTTCATTTCTCTCTCTCCCTCCACAGGAACTGGTCTGAAGATTCCTCCTGCTGCTCAGCAGGCTCTACAGATGACCGGCTCCATACCGTTTGGAAACATCGGGGCTCCAGCAGGTGAGGCGCTAGATGATGGAAAACATTTTGTGTGTCTTTGCGTGTGTTTGTTTTTAGAAAATTCAGTGACATTGACATCAATCAATCAATCATTCTTTTTGTTTCAGCTGTTCCAACTCCAGCTCCAAGCCAAGCCTTGAACCTCCCATCACAGCCACTGGCCACACACTGCCTTCAGCTGTCCAACCTGTTCAACCCACAAGCGTAAGGATATTATCACTTAGATTTAGGGTTCACTTTTATTGTCTTAAATTTACTCGCATGCCCATTGAAAGAAGAGTTTTTGGTCTCTAATCATTGCTCCTCTCCACACTAGCTGTGAAGATTTCAGTGTGAGTGATGGGGACAAAATGTGTCTGGATCTTTGAGTAGAAATGCATCACAAAGCTGATATGATGCTTTAGCAGCCTGAGTTAGACAAAGCAAGTTACAGGAAACAAGAATCCTTTCAATGTGTAAATATGGAGATGTCGACATTGTTTTAAGATGTCTTGAAAATTGTCCCATTTGTCTGAGGTATACTAACATTATTGAATGTGTTTCAGGGAAAACGATCCCAGCTGGGCCTCTGAGATCCAAGATGACGTGATTGAAGAGTGCAACAAACATGGAGGAATTGTTCACATTTATGTTGATAAGAACTCGGCTCAAGTAAGTTGAAGCATAGAGTGTCAGTTCATGTCAAGAAACATAATGATGTGTAGCTCAAGAACAAGCCTGTAATTACCATGTATGGTGATAGGTGTCACCAAAGACAAAACAGATCTTTGACATTGCCACTTTAAGCCTTTACTTTGACCAGTTGACACAATAGAGAGCCATATCATGAATTTGACATTTCTCAGCTGTGTATAACAATAAGACAGTTATATCATCAATCAAGTAGTGAGACTAAGCAGCAATGAGCAAGTATAGATGGATTCATTAAACAAATGTGAATCTCAGAGGGGAAAACTTTTGTGACTTTCTGTTCAGACATTTTTCAAAGCTGTGAACTGCTTAAATCTAAAGAGTTTTTCTTTTCCTCGACTCTTGTTCACACAGGGTAACGTGTACGTGAAGTGTCCCTCGATTCCAGCAGCGATGGCAACTGTAAATGCACTTCATGGACGCTGGTTTGCAGGTATGTAATGTTGCCATTTGGTTTTGAATCATTAATAAAACAATGTGGAGAGCATTCTCCAGGTTTTAACTTTTTTTCCACTTTCTCTCCCAGGCAAAATGATCACGGCTGCCTACGTTCCCTTACCCACCTACCACAACCTTTTCCCTGATTCAGTAACGGCAAAGCAACTTCTAATGCCAGCACGTCGATAGTCAGAGATGTGCTAATGAAAGGCAGTGTAAATACATTTGTTTGCATTCATGGAGATGTGATTGAAACCGACACATTGAAATTAGTTGGCTGTGTGTAATAAAAGTTGCCTCAATTTCACAAGTTCACCATTGAAAATTAGGCTTTTTTTTTTAGTTGCTTTTCAAATTTTTTGTGGGTTTGTGTTGTAAACTACCATTGAGGAGTAATCTCCTGGTATCTATCGGTCTGTATGCTTTTAAATATTACTGTCTTATCTGCTTGTTTAAATCCAGTTTTAGATTTAAAATAAATTGCAAAGAATCACACAAATGTGTTAGGTTAATAGGCCTTAATGCCAAAAGTATATCAATGTCAACAATAATCCTTTGTAACTTTTTACAGCCATAATTTCATTTTTTGTATGAAGGCTCCCAATAAACTTTGGCAAATTTGACAATTCATTCTATGTTTTTGTCTCCTTTTTGGGAGTTTGTCAATTCCAGGTTCAAATAAATTACTTTGTGATTAAAAGGACCCCATGTTTCTCTGATCTATTTTTTTTTTTTTTGTCCCCCAGCAAATTGGGTTTATTAAAGCTTGTCTTGCTGCTGAAATTTCTCACCTCATTCAGCATGAAAAAGTCTTGGGTACTTTGGAGCGGTACAAATCAAAGTGCTGTCATTCAACTACCGATAAAAAAAAGTTGACTTTATGAGCCAAACAAAACTACACCCTCACGTGATTTGACCAGTATCTTAGTTGCAGAGTTAGAGACTTAGATGTACAGGTCGCTGTTCACAAGTTACACTTTTTAATGTAGTTTGCTGCAGGGGTTGTATTGACCTATTTTTCAGTTAAAGAGAAGAATTGAAGGATAAAGACTCACTGGTTGGTCTGGCAAATGTACATCTGGTTAAGCCACCTCCACTAAACGGCAACGCACAGCAGCTTTTCTGTGGGACCAAGAATTTTAAACCTGAAGTAGATGTAATGCAACAGTGACATTTTGTGATTAACAAATGACACAAGACAGGTTTAATGCATATACTGTAAACTTTATCTTCTAACAAAAGATATAGCAACAACAAAATTGCTTAAACTTCACAAATCTCTCTACCCCTTATTTAAACCACATGGTACATTTTTCTCTTTTTCTCAAAATTTTACTGTAAATATATTTTTCCTCCTGCAGAAAGTCGTTCACATCTGGGAAAAAAATGACATGTTAGCATTTAATGTCTGAAACACAGCTGTGCATGTCAAACTGAATTGACTTGACAGAGTAAAAAACAAGAATTGTTTCATTTAACCAAATAAGCCAATACTATAACTTGATGCAGATATTTGCAAAACCACGAGGGAGCTCAGCACAGGGTTTTCCACAACAATCACCAGCCGCCTGATTAAGTCAAAATGATCAGTACCAATAATGCTAAAAAAGACACTTTCAACTTGAATTTATAGTAACTCTAAACCTTGAATATCGCATGTGCTGTAATGATCCATCCACTGCTGTAAGGTCTCTGAACATAGGAACACAAGTGGCTGCTGACCTGAAAGGGCCCTTCACTTCTTAGGAGAGCATTCCTTCGCCTGATGGGCCTGCAGGACAGCAATCGCCTCGTCCACCTGCCCAGAGTAGAGGATAGAGACAATGTTGAGAAAGCTAACGCCACTCTCATTATTGACATTACTCTTATGTGTTTATGTTAAATATGAAGCTACATCCAGGCGACAGTTCACTTTGCACAAAGAAAGAAACAGCTAAAGCTCACTGTTCAACAAGTTAAATCTTGAAACCAAAGAGTGAAAACAAGTACAATTTTATAAAAGGGTTATGATATGGGTTTTATTATGCTAGACTATTTCTTAGCCACACAGGTGAGGGTGGTATTCTCTTAGCCATTAGCCAAGTTTCAAACACTTTAAACAATTCTCATTTTGTTAGAATATTCTTGCATTTCCCCAATTACATCAATCATTAAGAATTGATCATTATCCTCTGGAGGAACACTGCAATACCATCTACATTTTTTTTAAACTTAAATTTTTGTCAAGACTGTCAACAGTCCTCACTTTCTCCTCGTCAACTGAACAAGCCAAAGTTGAAGGCCATAGGATGTAGTTAAAATTACTGGTAAGTTAAGATTTTTTTTTTTTTTTGTCAAACTACCATTTTCAAGGTCAAGCAAAACTTGACTTTTACACTCAACTCTGTAGTTACCGTGGTGATATAACTAACAGAAAACTGTGCAAACCATTATGTGTAGCAACTGTTTTATCACCACCTCCCATTGGGTTGCTTGAGATCAACTGCTACGACTGTTACCGTGCGATAGCAGGATATTAACCAGCCCGCAAAAATATAATCATCATTATACCTTGGAGTGCAGAGACTCGGGCGACTCCAGCATGTGCAGCAGCTCTGAGTTGTCAATCTCCAGGAGCATCCCAGTGATTTTTCCAGCCAAGTTTGGGTGATGGGCATGGATCATTGGGTACAATCGCTCACCTGCACGTCACAGCAGAGACAGAGGTCATTAACCTAAATAGTAAAGTTTCTTCAATTTACATAAAAATAAAAAAAAGGCAGGAACTGAATGATGCCACACCAAGAAGCTGTTTCTGGTCCATGAGTGGAGCTGCAGCCAGCATCGAGGCAGTGAGCGGCTCTGGGCCTTGAATGTGCACTGGTGGCTCCATCACTGGTGCAGGAATAACCTGACGACATCAAGGGCACCGATAATAATGTTAATAATCACCTGACAATTTTGTATTAAACATATTTTTACTGTGACGTTCTGTTAATTTTGAATCTGCAGGTCATTTTCCCCACTTTCTGCCATGATGATGATGTTTGAATTTCTTTCATTTTCAATCTAATAAGGCACAAGGCTCAACACATCAACATTCATACAGTAGTTTTTCCATCTGCAACTTCCATTAGAAGAGCATGTAAACTGCAAACAACAGAACATGCAAACTTCACACAGAAAAGCCCAGTGTTTGAACCCAAGACCTTCTCAGTGTGAGGCTACAGTTCTAACCACTGCGCCGCCCCATCACAAAGTTATAGTATAGTAAGGCATAAAAATGTAAAAAAAAAGTACACTTAGTGTAGTAAGGCATAAAAACGTAATAGTATACTAAGGCATAAAAACAGTTTAATGAGGCATAAAAAAACGTCATACTATTAGTAAGGCATAAAAAAAAAAATCCATGGAATAGTAGGGAAAAAAAAAAAAAAAAAAATAATAAATTATTAAGGCAAAAAAAAAAAAAAAAAAGTCATAGTATAGTAAGGCATAAAAAAAAAAATCCATGGAATAGTAGGGAAAAAAAAAAAAAAAAAAATAATAAATTATTAAGGCAAAAAAAAAAAAAAAAAAGTCATAGTATAGTAAGGCATAAAAATGTAAAAAAAAAGTACACTTAGTGTAGTAAGGCATAAAAACGTAATAGTATACTAAGGCATAAAAACAGTTTAATGAGGCATAAAAAAACGTCATACTATTAGTAAGGCATAAAAAAAAAAAAAAACTCATAGTATAGAAAGACAAAAAAAGGCATTAAACTGTCAAAATATGGTAAGTCTTAAAAAATTCATAGTTTTTACACCTCATTATACTACGTTCTTTATGCCTTATTATACTATGACTTTTTTAAGACTTACCATATTTTGACAGTTTAATGCCTTTTTTTGCCTTACTATACTATGAGTTTTTTTTTTTTTTTATGCCTTACTATATTATGACTTTTTTTTATTTTTTTATGCCTTACTATACTAAGACTTTTTTTTTTTTTTATGCCTTACTATACTATGACATTTTTCATAGTCATAAAAATGTCAAAAACCATCATAGTACAGTAAGGCATAAAAATGTCCAAAAAAGTCATAGTATAGTAAGGCATTAAAAAAAAAAAAAAAAAACTTCATGGACGCTGGTTTGCAGGTATTAATGTTGCCATTTGGTTTTTGAATCATTAATAAAACAATGTGGAGGAGAATTCTCCAGGTTTTAACTTTTTTTCCACTTTCTCTCAGGCAAAATGATCAACGGCTTGCCTACCGGTTCCCTTACCACCTATACCACATACCTTTTTCCTGATTCAGTAACGGCAAAGCAAACTTTCTAATTGCAGCCACAGTCGATAGGTCAGAAATGGTGCTAATGAAAGGCAGTGTAAATACATTTGTTTGCATTCATGGAGATTGATTAACCGACACATTGAATTAGTTTGGTCTGTTGTGTAATAAAAGTTGCTCAATTTCACAAGTTCCACCAATTGAAAAATTAGGTCTTTTTTTTTTTAGTTGCTTTTCAAATTTTTTGTGGGTTTGTGTTGTAACTTACCATTGGAGGAGTAATCTCCTGGTATCTATCGGTCTGTAATGCTTTTAAACTTATTGATGTCGTTAATCTGCTTGTTTAATCATTTCTTTTTAGATTAAAATAATTGCAAGAATACTCACAAATGTTGTTAGGTTAATAAGGCCTTAATGCAAAGTATACTCATGTCAACAATGAATCCTTTGGTAACTTTTTACCAGCCATAATTTCCATTTTTGTATGGAAGGCTCCCAATAGTACTTTGGCGAAATTTGACTCAATTCATGGTCTTATGTTTTTGTCTCTTTTTGGGAGTTTGTTCAAAATTCCAGTTCAATATAAATTACTATTGTGATTTAAATAGGACCCTGTTCTCTCTGATATCTATTTTTTTTTTGCGTTTTGTCCCCAGCAAAATTGGGTTTATTAAATGTTTGTCTTGCTGCTGCAAATTTCTCACCTTCAATTCAAGCATGAAAAGTCTTGGGTACTTATGGAGGGTAACCAATACAAAGTGACTGTCATTCACCTTCCGATAAGAAAAGATGTGACTTTTATGAGCCAAACAAAACTACACCCTCACGTGTATTTAGACCAGTCATCGTTAGGTTGCAAGCAGTTAGGATGACTTAGTTGTACATGGTCGCTGTTTCCAAGTTACACTTTTAAATGTAGTTTGCTGCATGGGGGTTGTATTGAACCTGATGTTTTTTCTTTTCACTTTTTTTTTTTTTTTTTTTTTTTTTTGTTATTTAAGAGAAAATTGAAGGATATAACGGACTCACTGGTTGTGCGGCAAATGTACTTGTTAAGGCCACCTCCACTAAACCGGCAACGCCAGAGCTTTTCTGTGGGACAAGAATTTTAAAACACTGAAGTAGAATGTAATGCAACAGTGACATTTTGTGATTAAAAATGACACAAGACAGGTTTAGATGCAATATACTGTAAACTTTAATCTTCTAACAAAAAGATATAGCAACAACAAAATTGCTTTAACTTTCACAAATCTCTTCCTACAACCTTATTTAAACAATGGTACATTTTTGCTTTTTTCTCAAAATTTTACTGTAAATAATTTTTCCTACCTGCAGAAAGTCGTTCACTAACTCTGTGGAAAGAAAATGACATGTTAGCATTTAATGTCTAAACACAGCTGTGGCATGTTTCAAACTGAATTTGGACTTGACAGAGGTAAAAACAAGATTGTTTTCATTTAACTACAATAAGCCAATACTAAATAACTTGAATGCAGATATTTGCAAAAACACGAGGGAGCTCATCACAAGGTTTTCCACCCAACAATCACAGCCCGCTGATTAGTCAAAATGAATCAGCTACAATAATGCTAAAAAAGCAACTTTCAAACTTGAATTTATAGTAACTCTAAACTTGAGATATCGCCATAGTGCTGGTAATGATAGTCGGATCCGACTGCTGTTAGGTCTCTGAACCATAGGAACACAAGTGGTGCTGACCTGAAGGGCCCCCTGTCACTTTTAGGAGAGCATTCTTCGCCCTCGATTTGGGCCTGCAGGACAGCAATCGCCTCGTCACCTTGCCCAGAGTAGAGGATAGAGCACATGGCTTGAGAAAGCTAACGCCATCTCATGATTTTGCATTACTCTTTATGTGATTTAATGTTAAATATGAGCTACATCCAGCGACAGTTTTTGCACAGAAGCAAGAGAACAGTAAAGGCTCACTGTTCAACAGTTAAATTTGAAACAAAGAGTGAAACAAGTACAATTTTATAAAGGGTGTATGATATGTTTTATTAATGCTAGTAACTAATTTCTTAGCCACAGTGAGGGTGGTATTCCTGTTAGCCATTAAGTCAAGTTTAAACACTTTACAGACATTCTCATTTTTGTTAGAGATTTTGCATTTCCGCAATTAACATAATCATTAAGAATTGATCATTATCCTCTTGGAGGAACTGCATATACCATCTACATTTATTTTTTAAACTTAAATTTTGTCCACAGACTGTCAAAGTCCTCACTTTCTCTCGTCACTGAACAAGCCAAGTTGAAGGCCATAAGGATGGTAGTTAAAATTACTGGTAAGTTAAGATTTTTTTTTTTTTTGTCAAACTACATTTTCAAGGTCAAGCCAAAGCTTGACTTTACACTCAATCTGTAGTTACCGGTGGTGATATAAATATACAGAAGAACTTGTGCAAACATTATGTGTAGCAACGTGTTTTATCACACCTCCATTGGGGTTGTTGAGATAATGACTGCTACGATGGTTTACGTGCGATATAGAAGGATATTAAGCACCGCAAAAATATAATCATATTAATACCTTGGAGTGCATAGAGACTCGGGGCGACTCAGCATGTGCAGCGCTCTGAGTTGTCAATCTCCAGGCGCATCCGCAGTGATTTTTCAGCCAAGTTTTGGGTGATGGGCATGATCTTGGGTTACAAATCGTCTCAGCGCACGTCAACACGAGAGTACAGAGGTCATTAACCTAAATAAGTAAGTTTTCTTCAATTTACATAAAAATAAAAAAAAGGCAGGAGACTGAATGATGCCCAACACAGAAGCTGTTTCTGGTCATGAGTGGAGCTGCAAGCAGCATCGAGCGTGATGGGCTCTGGGCCTTGAAATGTGCACTGGTGCTCCATACTGGTGCAGGAATAAACCTGACGAATCAGGGTAGACGATAATAGCATGTCATAATAATCCTGACATTTTGTATTAATACATATTTTTACTGTGAGTTCTGTTAATTTGAACTCTAGCAGTCATTTTTCCCACTTTCTGCCTATGATCGATGATGTTTGAATTTCTTTCAAATTTTCAATCTAATAAGGCACAGGCTCAACACATCAATCATTCATACAGTAAGTTTATTCCACTGCGAAACTTCATTAGAAAACGCAAATTAGCTGTAAATGCAAAAACAGAACATGCAAACTTCACACGTAATAGCCAGTGTTTGAACACAAGACCTTCTCAGTGTGAGGCTAAGTTCTAGAACACTGCGCCGCCCATCACAAAGTTATTAGTATGTAAGGCATAAAACAATGTAAAAATAATGTAAGTACACTTAGTGTAGTAGGCATAAAACGTAATAGTATACTAAGGCATAAAAAGTTTAATGAGGCATAAAGGAACGTCATGACTAAGTTGAGTAGGCACTAAAATAAAAAAAAAAAAGTTAAAATGGCAAAATATTATATGACCAAAAAAAAAAAAAAAAAAAAAAAAAAAACTCATAGTATAGTAAGGCAAAAAAGAAAAAGGAGTAATTAAACTGTCCAAAATATATGTAGAGTCTTAAAAAATTCAAGTTTTTATACACCTCATTATACTACGTTCTTTATGCCTTATTATACTTGACTTTTTTTAAGACTTACCATATTTTGACATTTAATGCCTTTTTTTGCCTTACTATACTATGAGTTTTTTTTTTTTTTGGTCCATATTATATTTTGCCGTTTTTAATTTTTTTTTTATGCTTATAATAGTATGACGTTTCTTTATGCCTCATTAAACTGTTTTTATGCTTACGTATACCTATTACACTTTTTATGCCTTTACTATATTATATGATAGTTTTTACACTCATTATAGACTACGTTCTTTATGCCTTATTATACTATCATAATTAAGTAAAGCATAAAAACTCACACATATAGTAAGGCAATAAAAAATGTCATAGTAGAATAAGGCATAAAAAAGACGAAAAAGTCATAGTATGATAAGGCAAAAAAACACTATAGTATAGTCATTATGATGTTTTTTGCCTTATTAACTATGACATTTTTCATAGTCATAAAAAACGTCAAAAACCTCATAGTAAGTAAGGCATAAAATGGTCCAAAAAAGTCATAGTATAGAAGGCATTAAAAAAAAAAAAAAAAAAAAAGTCATAGTATAGTAGGCATAAAAAAAAAAAAAAGTCATAGTATAGGTAAAGGCATACAAAAAAAAACATAAAAAAAAGTATAGTATATAGAGGC